ACACAATGATTATGTTGGAGGTAGGTTGGGTGTGTGAGCGCCACTCATTGAAGTCTTGAGGATTAAAGTGGCTTTTGGGGAAGGGTGATTTTTGGGTTTAGGCTTGAAGTCTGAATAGAGATGTAAGGAAGGCGTTTGAATATATGGATCTGTTTTTCAGAGAAGAGGTTTCAGCAGGAGATATTAGTATGGGAGACATCATTACAACATGGAATTTGAGTCATGGATGGATGAGATCATGTTAGACAGTGTAGAGAGGGAACAGGGCTTAGGAGCTAACCTTGAGGCTTTCTAAATTTAGAGGTTGGAAGAGAAGTAGCCAGCAAAGGAGACTGATAAACAGTAGATAGGGGAAAAAAAAAGCCCAGAAAAGCCAAGGACATGTTATACTGAGAATCAGTGAAGATGGTGTTTCCAGGGGAAGGAATTGTCTGCTTACTACCTGCTCCTTAACATGATAAAGTAAGGGCATAATATTTACCATCAGGCTTGAAATGTGGGAGGCCTTGGGGACTTTACAAGGGCAGCTTTGGTGGAATCGTGGGCAGGAAATGATTAGAATGGGTAGCAGCATGAATTTTAATTTGTAAGAAAGGAGGGATGATGAGTAGAGACTCTTAATAGTTCCTATACATCTATGAAGGAGCTGGGGGAGAGGCTGAAGAGAATATGGGATATTTTAATTAGGGTTCTACAGATTATTAGAACTGATAAGACACACACACACTCAGGATTTATTATGGCTCACTTGGTTATGGAGGCTGAAAAGTCACACAAAAGGCAAACCTGGAAAACCAAAGAAACTGGTAGTCCATGCCCGAAGGCTCTGAATCTGGGAAGCTGTGGTGTAACTCTCAGGTGGAGGCTTGAAGTTCTGAGAGCCTGGGACTAGTTGGTATGAGTCCTGGACCCGGCTGGAGAACCTGAACTTCTGGCTTCCAAGGACACGCTGGCTCTGGAAGAGAGAATAGGAATTTGTCCTTTTCTGCCTTTTGTTTCATCCAGGCCCCCAGCTGAATGGATGGCGTTGGCCCACATCGAGGATAGGATAGATCTTCTCCACTCAGTCTACTGGAAACACACACACACACATTATAGTCAATGCGAAACCTGGGTTTCCCTTTCAGCAGAAGAGGCAAAGGGCCTCAGTACCTACTGAAGCACTGAAAACCATTAATGCTTTAGTAGCTAGCTAGATCCCTTAGTCCATTCAAGTTGACACCCCAAATCAACCATCCCAGGGAGTTAAGAGAATCATAGGAATATGATTGACTTTTAAAAATCTATATAGGATATATTATATGGTAACATTTAATATTCATAGCATATGGATCCATTGATATGTTGACTATTTTTGCTCTATGAAAATGGTAATTTCTTGTAGTTTGGTATAATAGTATGTGCTATACTATAGAATGAAGTGCTTTTGGAAGGGGAATTTGATGGATCAGTGTTGAGGGGGTTTAACCAAAAGAACACAGCCTTTGAACAGTTGAGAGAGAAGGGCTTGGAAGTCAGTAGAGACTGGCCTTTTGAGGTAGGGAGAGGGGAAGTCACACGAATTTCAGTTGTAGTAAGAAAGAAGAAGATGTACAAATGTAGCTGAGCTTGAGTGACTCCAGGCCTCAGTAGCAAGTGTCATCCCTCGGGCAAATAATTATGTATTATGCTTAGATTTAGCTCTAAATACAGTCATTGATTTTGTTCATAGGATGGAGTGGATACTGATTCTATTCTACTTTGTAGCAGACTCTAAATTTGCTCTCTCAAATGTCTTTGATATTTCTGATTTTTTTCTTTTTGACTCACCAAAAAGCAGAGAAAATCAAATATGACCTTCTCCACTCCTCAGCAGTGCAGCACAGGGTATCCCTATAGAACTGATTAGCAAATCAAAGGATAAAGTGGTTTTCTCACAAGCGATTTTTCTGCCCTACAGAAAATTGTCTTTTTCAATATTACTATCAGCATTCTTTGACTTGTCTGCATAATTGAAACATTATCTATGATTTCTGTTGCTTTAATGCAGGCTGTGAGTGCATCCTTTTAAGGTCATGCCACTCCTTTCTGTTATGTGTACAGAATTTGCTTATGAGGTGTATGTCAATAATTTTGACTGTTTGGAGGGAGATTTTATTCCACTGCACAATACAGTTTAAAATGATTTTCACTAGACTATTACACTGACATATCCCTAGGTCACAATTTTCTCCATGCACTTAATTTAGTATAGAATTCCAGGTACTGATCATTAATTGTATGTTTAGAGCTACAATGAGATTGAAAATTGTCTTTAATGTTGATAGGCTCCCTCTTCCTCTTCATGAAATATTCCCCAGTAATGTTTATTTTGAATAACTCCCTTATTCATCAGTTATGGGACCAGCACCATAGGAAAAGTGTTCCCAAGAGGGTCCATTTCTCTCTCTGTGTACTTTTTGAGCAGTAGGCAGCACAGAAGGATCTGGAGAAGCGTATTAAAATCTGGCCCCAATGTATTAAAATTATAATAATGGAAAAATAAGAATAAATGTGGCATATTTAAAAATTCTGATATGATGGCATTTTAGACTAAGCTCAAGTTTTATGGGATGGGTAGACTTACTAAAGGCAAGACAAATTGACAAGTTCTAATTCTCTTTGGAATAAGAACTTAATTTTCTGTTACCTGTGCAGTAGAAATTTCAACACTGAAATGGATTTGTGTCTTCAGTATTGGAAATATTCAACAGAATCTATCAGAAGTGATTTCAGGAAGCCACAGTCTGTTGTGTGTGATAATGAGTGAAGAAAAGTAGATTAGTCGGTGATGTACCTGACTCTCAAATACTTTCCTTCTTTGGATTGAATTTTTGGGTTATTCCAGAGGACCCTCTTTGTTCCTTTCATGGGGAGCTGCTCATAACCAATCTTATGTACGCTTTGTTGATGTGAAGGCTTTATAGTACTACGATACTGCTTAATAGCTTTGCTGATCTGGAATCCAGTGGTTCAGCTAGCTCTTCTATATCTTCCCTGAATTACTGTTGTACTGATCCTGTAAGTTTCCTTTGCTGTGCTGTTTCCAGATGTAAATTGAAGCGTATTCTTTTTTTTTCTTTCTGGTAACTAGGGGTAACAGGGTTTATGTTGCAGGAAGAGATCTGTGCTAAAACATAGTACTTCCTGTTTCTCTTTACATCAGTGAACCAACCTCAGAGTTCTCTTTGTGGTGACATACCACTCCAACGTAGAGTTGCAACTGCCTACAGGAGTACAGTTTTGACGCGTAGCTATGTCACATGACTCTGAGTAGAGAGGTCTGTGAGAGCAGTCTTTCAGGTCTGTGGAGGCATGTGACTGTCTTGTGCTCTTTGCTTCTTTATTATCAGGGCTTTGGGTGTTTATCTCCAGTGTTTGATGCTCTCCTTTCCCCCAGAATAATTTGCTGCTACATTTGGCTAATTTTTTGTTTTGTTCCAAAATTTCTTTCCTAGTCTCTTCAGATTTCTGTCCACTCTGGCAGTTTGCTGAAATGACTAGACTTCTCTTGGTAGTTCTCAGTCTACATTGACTTCTCTCCTTTCCCTTGTTGAACTGATTAGTAACCTGTGAGTACAACTTTCCTGTCTCCCACTCCCTTCCCGTTACAAAAACAGCAAATATTCATAACAGACTAAAAAAGTGTAAATATCCACAACTAGTTTTTAACCATCTTGATAAAATTATCTCATGTATGCTTTTTCAAAAGGGTATCATGTCACATATACTACTTTTTTCATAATACTATTTTAAAACTTCCCTGAAGATAACTATCCTTAATATTTGTTTTTAAAAAATTAATTTCTAAATTTTTAGCAGCTGAATACTATTCCTTGCTTTAGATATGTTAACCAATGATCCCTAAGTTTGAGAAATCTAGTGTTTTCTTTGTTACCTTCTTCATTCCTTTCTGTTATTTCTTGGTGATGGATATCTGGAGTTGTTTGTTTACCATGCAGATAGTTATTCTTTTAAACCTTAATATAAGCTTTTTGGGAATTGGGGGTTGGTTGTTGCTTATAATGTCACCTTCTGTATTTAAAGACAAGGCATATCTGTCTTGATAGCATGTGGAATTATGCCTGACACAGTGGGTTTTTGGAGAAGAATTATTATTGTTCCAGAAATATGAGCGCCAGCTGACAAATACACTAATATCTGATAAATAAATGAGTATCTTTGAACCCAAGATATGGGATTGAGCAAGTCAGCTCAAAGATTGTTCTTGCTTTCATCAACTGACTTGTTATTCTGTATAATAAACAAGGTTTATGCTACAGAGATGACAGACCTCTGAGTATAAGGATCAATTTAAGAAAACCTTTAAGAAAACACAGTATAATAAAAGTAGTTTGAATGACTTTTTTCTAAGTTCTCTTTTTTTTTAATTCATTTATTCACATGTGCATACATTGTTTGGGTCATTTCTCCTCTCTGCCCTCCTCCTGCACCCTTTCCCCCTCCCCGTCTCAGTTCCAGGCAGGTCCTGTTCTAGTATGGTTACTTGGGGAATGGCTAATTAAGAGGTTAAGAACTGATTTTGTCTACAGATGATATTTCTTACTTAGGATTGCCTATTAGTGTTAACAGGTCAAGATGGAATGAACTTGTCAGTTTCATACTTTTTAACCCTTGGGAGTTAACTTGAATCAGTTATATGCAAATTTAAAATTTCATATTTGAATATAACATGCTATTGTACTTAGTGATTCCAGAGACCCAAAGATCTTTTAGGACTGAATATGGCGGGGGGGGGTATGTGGATAAGAAATACATCCCCAAATATTTTGGTTGTTCTGTTGTACATTTTGAAACATGATTAAGCAAAAATAGCAGCTATGGAGAAGATTTTGTGCTACAAATTGGTACTTCAATCCTACCAGCTGTTCATGCTTCCCGTGATCCACTTCTAAAAAAGTGTGTGTGCTCAGCCAGGCTATAGTGGTGTTTCATATCGCTCTTTTTATTTTTTATTATAGGGCCAGCTCTCAATGTTGCAAGAAAAAATAGACCATTTAGAGCGTTTGCTAGCTGAGAATAATGAGATCATCTCAAATATTAGAGATTCTGTCATCAATTTGAGTGAGTCTGTGGAGGATGGTCCGAAAAGTTCACAAGGCAATTTCAGCCAAGGTGCCGGCTCTCATCTTCTGTCATCACAATTATCCCTTCAGGTCGACTCTAAAGACTGTCTGTTTGCTTCGCAAAGTGGAAATCAGCATCCAGATGTGCAGGTAATATAGACATCCATTAATAATCACAGGTCTTTTTGATTTTAGATTTGATCTGGCAGTCTATTCTTGGTGAGTTGCTTAAGCTGTTTTCCAGTATCTCTTTTTGTTGAGTGATTTGTTTAGTCACATTATTTTTGTGTACTTCTTTGTTCTCTTGGTTTTTCTGGTGAATGTAGTCTTTTTGTATACTTTTGTGTTCTTATTTTCTGTAAGGGTTGAAACACTTTGGGGGTTGAATTTCACTGGAGAGTTTCCCACATTCCTATGGAGAATGTATGTTAGATTTCTTTTGGAATATTCTTTTATGAGGAAGGGAACTTTTTGAGAGCTGTACTTCACAGTGTGTCAGCTACTATCCTCATGTGGTTGCTGGGCCCTTGCAGAGTGGCTCACTGGGCTTGAGATGCTCTAAAAGTGTAACTCAGTGTTCCAGGCACCGTGTAAAGAGCCTCAGTTCACTTTTACATTGGTTACATGTTGAGTTGATTTTATTTTGGATAGGTTAAATCAAATATATCATTGAAATTATTTTCATTTTACTAGAAAATTGTAAAAAATTACATATTTGGCTTACATTATATTTCAACACTTGGACAACACTGTTCTAGAGGGGAAATATAGTTGAAAACCAAGGTCAGAAGGGACTTCTGTCTTCCTTAAACTCCAGATGTGTTACTTATATTGGCCCTAGTTGGCAATTTAGCAGAGGGCTCCATTTAGCTTTGTGCTGTAGACCAGAAACTGGAACTCTGTGGGTGACTCTAATTGGTGAATATTTTAAAGCTAAAGAAAATTAGTTGGCCTGTAGCTTGGCTTTAGAGAAGGCATTTTCTGTGAAAGCCTAGGGACATAGAACATGACATGATCTTGAGGCCATGGTTTACAGGCCAAACTGGAAGCTGGGGCTAGGGCAGCCCCAGGCCTCAAACCTGCAGCCTCCTGCGCTAGTGTAGTGCATGGGCAACTCAAGTGGGATCAGAATCCCTCGCTATGTGGGGATGTCTGTTCTGTGATGCTTGATCCCACTTTGGGTTTTATTGAAGACTTCTTAAGCACCTACCCTTGTCAACCATGCTAAAGGAATGGCAAAACCTTTATTTATTTATTTATTTTTGGTCTAAATGTGGGTCAGTTAGAAAGGAGCTGCAGAGTAAGCATGCCTGCAGGCAGAGCAAGGCAGCAGGGGACCTGGAGGACTGCAGGGCCCAAAAAAGAGCTCTGAGGAGCAACAGGCTACCGACGCTTCCTCCTGCCCAGCTGCTACCCAAAGATTTGCTGGCTTATCCTTGGAGGGGTTTTATTTTATTTATTAAAGGCACATAGTGATAGATATGTGATTGCTTAAAAATACTTTGTAATCACTTGTGTATGTTTTTTCTGTTATAAAGTTTTTGTAACTCATTCATTAATGTTAGTAGCTTAATTTCAAGAGCGTAAATACTATAAATGGCTGTATTCTTTGTCACATTTGGTATTACGCAGAGTCTGAAGAAAAAAAGTAAAGTTTTATATTTTGGGGGGGGCAGTTGTTTTTCCCTTTGTGCCCAAATAGATTATTTTCTTCAATGAATATTGTATTGCAGAGCTAGAAAACATTTGTTTTTTGAGATGGGGTCTCACTATGTTGTCCAAACTGGCTTCCAACACCTGGGCTTAAGGAATTCTCCCGCCTTGCCTTCTAAGTGCTGGGACAACAGGCACATGCCACTAGGCTCAGCTGCAGAAAACATTTGAATATTTAAAAGTTAAATGTCAGTTTCAAGAATTTTCTCTACTGTTAAATGATCATGCCTAGTTGATCCTTTTACTTTTAGAATAAAAGAAGTAAATAAAGCATATATTGGCTAGAAGAATAACTACATGTGCATTTTCATTCAGGTACAGATTTAAAAAATATATATGTGATTGACCATAAAATAAAGATGACCCAAAATGCAGTTAAAAAATTTTAGTGCTGTATTTGAAAACATTGAAATATTTGGTCATAATCAAATTTTGTAAGAATTATTTTTGTCTGTTTCTGTCCATTTCTATTAAGTTGCATTGGAAGTAAAGTACAGGAAGAAGAAATGGAATGAAATTGTATTTATTTAGAAGTGGATGGGGAGGGGATTATTTATCAGGCTAGCTATGTAGCACCACCAACTTTTCAAGCCTTTGAGTGATGATGAACTGTTTTTTCTTTTTTCTCTTAAACTTTTCAATTAATTTCTTTGGAAATACTTTCATTTTTACACAGTATATATGCAGAGTATAACAATGAATAATTTTGAGCAAATATCTGCCAACATTGAGGGTAAGCTAATAAGGTAAACTTTAAATTTTTTCCTTTCATGTTTTTAGATGTTGGATGTTTACGACCTCATTCCTTTTGACAATCCAGATGGCGGCGTGTGGAAGCAGGGTTTTGACATTAAGTATGAAGCTGATGAGTGGGACTCAGAGCCCCTTCAAGTCTTTGTGGTGCCTCATTCCCACAATGACCCAGGTAAAGTCTGCATTTCACAATCCCTAGAGGTCATCCGGCTTCTGTCGGCCCAGAGTCCTTTAAGAAGCATCAAGGGTTAGCCTCTTCCTCCAACTCCGAGATAGCATTTTCCGACTCTTAACAGTGACATGTTCCTTGTATGTCATTGTAGTCTCATTCTCATTTTACCAATTCATGTGCCACTCCTGGGTAGGACTTGGGCAGTGCGAGAGAGTGATAAAAACAAGAAGGGCTTAGCTTTTGGGAGTGAAGGTTGCACATTGAAGCCTACTGATAGTTTGGTTTAGTTGCTTTCGGTAAAAGGTGGCGTGGGAGAGTTATTTCTTTCTGTAAACTACTTTACATAGGCAGGACAGTCATGGGGAGGTTTGCATCTTTGCCATGGAGAAAGTATGGTTCAGGAGCCTTGGTACACATTGGCGTCCATCAGGCAAACATGAGATGTATCTCTGTCCTTCTCTCAGCACGAGGTGACTTTAGGACTTTAGGCAAGTTGCCAAATCCCTCTGTAGAGGAATTGTGCATGGCACAGATGTAGCTGTTAATATTATTATTGTTTTCTCTATGTTGGCTTTTACTTATTGGGGCCAAGGTTTTTTTTCCCCTTCAAGGTAGCTGCAGTTGCAATAATTACAGTGGGACATATGTTTAGATGTGGGAACTTGTTAGGGTGAGTATGCAGTGCACAGCGAATGCCAGTGCATTCAGTTGCAAACCTTTTTTCTGAATGTATTTCTGAAGGCTTCTTTTGAAGGACTTCATTGTGCTTGTATTTCTTCTTCTTCTTCTTCTTCTTCTTCTTCTTCTTTTAATTGGTGGCTGTCCTTTGGTTGGAACTCACTTCCTAGGCAGGTGATCTACTCCTTGAGCCACACCCCAGCCTTATTTGTTACTCTTTTTAAATGTCTCAATTTCCTTATTACTATCAGCACCACTAATTCACCTGCAACTTTGAAGGCTTTCTTTTTTACACCAAACATGTATTTCTCTTCTACTTATGTTCTGTCCCACTTGTTCATTAGCTGTATTCATTTCTAGTTCTATTTCTGTGTCAATATAACTTACAACTTTAGGTTTCCACGTGATTTTTAACACATTTCTTCCTTTTTTTTTGGGTCGTACCTGGGTTTGAACTCAGGGCCTTACACAAGCTATGTGAGCACTCTATCATTTGAGCCATGCCTCTGGCACTTTTCATTTTAGTTTAATTTTTAGATAGAGTCTTGTGTTTTGTCCTGGCAGGCCTTAGATATGATCCTCCTACTTATGCCTTTGCATAGCTGGGGTTGCAGAAATGTACCACCCTGCTCAGTTTGTTTATTGACATGGGGTCTTGTTGACTTTTTGCTTGGGCTAGCCTTGAACAGCGATTCTCCTGATCTTTGCCTCCCAGATAGCTAGGATGACTGGTGTAAGCCACTGCACCTGGCCCTTTTCAATTTCTTTTTCTGAACTTTTATTATCCTTTCCCTGTTTCTAAAGCTGTCCATCATTTCTACCCATCTCAGTTCCTGTTATTCTGTAACATGGCCACTTAACTGTAGTAATGAACTTGGTGGTTTACCAGGCAGAGTGCCAAATATTTTGCACACACCTGATGCTTACCACAGTCCTTGAAGTTTGGTGCCCCTATTCCTGGTAGAGGTGTTAGCAACTTGTGAACATGACCTAGGGAGTAGGAATACCTCCTGTGCTGTTAATTGGAGCTCCCTCTAGAGTAGATTTGATGGCTGAGATCACATGTATCCCACTGAACTCTGTTCTCCTTGTCTGTCCCAGTACTTGGCAAATGGTAAGTGCTGAGTGTGGGAGCCTTCTCTGACCTGTGTCCATGCCCCTCCACCATGCCTAGACCGTCCACGTGCACACCCTCATTTGCACGTGTACATCTGTGCAGTTACGTACAGCACCTTTGCTTGGTCTGCTCACTGGAATGGAAGCTCAGCAAGACCTAGAACTCTGTCTTACTAACTGGTGTGTGGGTAATGCCTAGAACAGTAACCAGCTCTTGGCACCGAGTTAAATGAAGCAACGGCTCTAACTCTCCACACTAGGTCGAAACCCTTGACTTGTTCCTTGGCCTTTGTTTTCTTTTCTTCTTTCCGTTCTGAGGTCTACTTACTTCCATTCTCTTTTTAAAAAATCCTATTTAAAATGTATTTTGTACTTTGATGTACTGACAACAGACAATCTGAAGCCCTTTGAGGGCAGCACCTGCCTCTGCCTTCTTAGTTTTGTTTGTTTGTTTGCATTGCGGTTCCTGCTGCTGTAGTTAGTACGTAGTTTTCTGACAAGTCATCCTTAATAACTCTTCCTGACTGCAGTAAATGAATCTGTCTGTTGGTATCCTAGCAACCACAGTTGAATCTTTTTTGTCTTAGTAAAAGATGGTAATGACCGTTACCCTTAGGCCCTTCTCCACTTGAGTTAAAAATAATGGTCAGAAATAGACCTTTTTAAAACTAAAGCAATTTTTGCTAAATGCTAGAGAAAAGAACCTGCTGACTTTTCTAGTAATTTTCACTATTCTTTAACACAAACAGAATATTGATAAACTAAATTAGTCTGTGAAACACTGAATCACTCAGATCATGAAGACTCACTCTTGGAACAGGGAAAAAGAGAAAAGTGTGTGCATGTACATTCCAAGTCAAAATGTGACTGTAATGGGAAATCTTTGTAGAATACTCCTAAATGAATGTGCAATTAGGCAGTTTACCTTCTAAATGAGATTTATAGAGATTTGTTTGCATTTTCTGCAGCAACAATTTAAAACAAGCTTTAGCTCAGTAGTCTGTTTCATCAGTGGATTTGTGTCTGTTGGGGATAGAAATTATTTGAAATAAAAACTTTTTTTTAATTTGAAATAAAGATTCTTGTGTTTAGACCCCTAATGTAAGGAATTAATGTTGCTGTGCTTACAGTTTCGTTCTGAGTTTATAATATCCTGCAAGAAAAGGTAAATTTCAAAATATATTTATATCTTAAGAAAATTTCTAATTATATGTTCTTCCAGTCTACAAGGACATGTAACCATTGTCGTACGGTATTTAAATGGTTTACATGAGGTAAGACAAAATTGGAAAGGAATTATTAGGTAAATGCTGATAACTTTATACTGTTAAGCTTTTGAAAAGTTTTGAATCATAGACCATGAAATTAAATGTTAGTTGATTGATACATGTTCATGTTGTATTTAATAAGCTGATTAAAACACAATTATTATAGCACTTTTGTATCTACAATCTTCTTTACTTCCCACTAGTTAAATTGCTGAAATATTTTGTTAATTTTCCTTCGAAGAAATCACAGTGTGTAGAGAAAAGATAAGGTTACTAAATGGAAGGTTGAACAGAAAATTGTTAGCTAAGCAATTTGTAACACGAACATTAGAAAATAATCCACCATGCAGTGTGGCTCTAAAGTAGTAGGAAGAGCTAGACCCCTAGGTTACACTGGAGAATAATTTTCTTTTGTGTAGTTGTGGTTTTTTTTTTTTTTCTTGGTGGGACCGAGGTTCAAACTCAGGAATTTGAGTTTGCAAAGCAGGCACTCTACCACTTGAGCCATACCTCCAGCCCATTTTGGTTTTCCTTTTCTTTTTAAAATTATATTGTTGTTGTATCGGAGGTACACTGTGACATTTACAAAGGCTCTTACAGTATATCATAGTTGAATTCATCCCCTCCATCATTTTCCTTGATCCCCTCCATTCCCCCAGCTCTGGTTATTTTGGGGATAGGGTCTCATGAACTCCCCCTTCCCCATCTCTCCCTTCCTCCTGCCTCAAACCACGGTCCTCCCAATCTCAGCCTCCCAAGTAGCTAGAATTATTATGGGCATGAGCCACCAGCTCCTGACTGTGTTTGTAGTTCTTTTGAAGAATTGTTTATTGACTCAGTGATTGGGATTTTCAGTTTTTTTTTTAAACTAAGAAAAGAAAATTTTGCATTTAGTATTATATAACTTGGACTTGGTTATAAATTCTTACTTAAAAAAAGTTTGTGAATAGGGATAAACATGAGGAAATCACAGTATGATAGTATTTTGGAAACATATCTGTTTAGATATTGTTTAGTCAGTATTTGAAAGCAGTTCTGGTCAGCCGTGGTTAGTGCACATGTGTGTTGATGAAGGTCGTAGAGAGAGTGGGTGTGAAGGTCAGTGGGGGCACTTGTGTGGCACACAATGTGGGGAATGCTGCTCCATTTGGCATAGCTACTTCAGGGTGAAGTCAGTTCTTTGGTTTTGATAACCATGGTGGGAAACTTGAATTTCCAGAGTTCACACAACATATGGAAGAATTGTGAACAAACTTTTTTCCCCTGTTTTGCATTTCTGCATCAGGGCCTGGAAAGTGGTAAATAAGTTGCTTTTTTTTTTTTTGTTACATATATTACATTGCACTTGGTAAGGGGTCTCATTGTGACATTTTCACACATGCATGTAATGTACTTTGATCACATTCACCCTCTCTATCACTCTTGCCTATCCCCTCTCCCCTCTTTTCTCTTTCAAACTTGACAACCAAGGCAGTGAGACTGAGGTAGTATATAGTGATTTGTTGAAAGTCAGTCAGTGGGGAATTCTAAGAAGCTGGTGATGGAACCTCAGATTTGTGCGATTCTGAAATCCATGTTCTATTTACCATACTGTCTCTTAAGCTACTTTGTTTAATTCAAATTATTCTCTTCTCTTCTTGCTTTACAGGCATTAACCAATGTGGCATATTTGTCTGTACTTTGGATTGTTAGTAAGGTTGTCACATTTAGCAAATAAAAATATAAGCTACTCAGTTAAACTGGAATTTCCAGTCAATAACAGAGTTTCTTAGTGTGTGGATATGTGTGTTCCAGGTATCACATGGGACAAACTTAAACTAAATATTTACTTTCTGTTTGTCTGAAATCCAGATTTACCTTGGCATCCTGTATTTTATCTGGCAACTTTGATTGTTAAGAGATCATATCATTTAAGAATTAAATAATTACGTGGCTTTT